ATGGGTATTCCGGATCAAAACCAACTCCGACGGAACCATCGAACGATTTAAAGCTCGATGGGTCGTCCGCGGATTCGACCAAGAGTATGGTCGCGACTTCACTGAGACTTTTGCACCAGTCAGTCGACATACTTCCCTGCGTATACTCCTCGCCATCGCCGCCTCACGTCGCCGCCCACTCCGACAAATCGACGTCGCCAACGCTTTTCTGTACGCCCCAGTCGACGCTGAAATCTTCGTCGAACAGCCCCACGGGTTCGTCGACGACCCTTCCCTCGTCTGCCAACTACTTAAATCACTGTACGGAATTAAGCAGGCACCGCGACTCTGGCAGCAGTACCTGCACGCACGACTTAAACGCATCGGATTCAACCAACTGCCCCATGACCAGGGCATGTATCGCCTCACTCACGACAACGACTACGTCCTGCTAATCGTCTACGTCGACGATTTACTTTACATCGGTTCAACTACCACCATCGTCACCTGATTCGAAAGGGAGCTTCAGACAGATCTCTCCCTCACAGTCTCACCCAACGTCACGCAGTACCTAGGGCTCAACATCCTCGTCGAAGACAACGCCATTCGTCTCAGCGCCTTAAAATACGCAAGCACTATCGCCGAACGCTTCTGCATCACACCGACGTACGTCGCAACACCCTACACTCACCTATCGCTTGATCCAACCGAAGAAACCAACCCACTGCCGTCTGCTGGAATCCAGGAATATCAACAGAAACTGGGCTGCCTACTCTTTGCCGCCGTTACGTGCCGACCGGACTTATCCTACAGCGCCAGTCAACTAGCGACCTACCTCAAGCGCCCAGAACAACGTCACCTCAAGGAACTCAACCGTGCCCTTCTCTACTTCATCTCGACGCCAACAGTTGGCTTAACGTATCACAAGAGCACGACAACCGACCTAAAACTACTCGGCTACGTCGTGTCGAAATATATTGTCATGTTTTATAACTGCTTGTAGTTGTAGTTAGTGTAGTTATTTAAACTGTTGTTGGTGGTGCACCTTATTTGGTTTCTATGCTATATGTACCCTTGAACCTATAGTGAAACCATCCCTTTTTCACCAATTCCTCTCTCAACTTACTCGACACCTCGCCTAGGGCAAAACCCGCTCGATATCTATGTACGGGCCTAGGCTACTAAGCCTAGGCCCTTCCTTTCAACTTAGCCTATTACTTTGACATGGAATCGGAGCTTTTTACGACCTGGCCTGTGGGCCCGCCTTACGCTTCCGCGATGATTTTTCGGTCGCGCGCCTAGGGCGCGTGACGATTTTTACTTAGTCCCGCCCACGGGTGTGTGGCTCCTACTCTGCCCGTCGCGCGCCCCGTGGCACGCGACGGTGCCCTTCATCTGCCCATCGTGCGCCCCGTGGCACACGATGGTGCCTTGCTCGTCGTGCGCCCCTAGGCGCACGATCGGGCCCTTTTTATTCTTCTACCCGTCGTGCGCCCCGTGGCACTGGCACGCGACGGGCCTTTCCGCCCCTGCTCTCCCTGAAGCCGCCCCTGACCAATCTGCACCGAGACCTTTTCGCCGCTCTGCGGCTTTCTTCCTTCCCACCCCCCTTCTTCCTTTGTCTCCCTGCAGCCGTGGGGAGGAGGGTATGGGGGTGGAGGGTGTTGGAGTGTTGGGTCACCTCTCTCCCTTCCCCTCCTCCTTCTTTCAGTCCCACCGCTGCAGCTGCCGCTGGGGGGGGGAGGGTGTGAGGATGTGGGGGAGCAGGGGGAGTGGTACCGGGGTGGCGGGTGTGAGGCAACATGCAGCCGTCCCTCCACCACTCCTCACTTCCCCCCCTTCTCTGCTGCTCTGCAGCAGTGTAGGGGAGGGGAAGGAGGAGGGTGAGGAGATGGAAGGGGTACCTGCTGTTGCTTGCTATGCTGTAACTACATATCTACCTACAAGCATTATGGGGGCGTGTCGAAATATATTGTCATGTTTTATAACTGCTTGTAGTTGTAGTTAGTGTAGTTATTTAAACTGTTGTTGGTGGTGCACCTTATTTGGTTTCTATGCTATATGTACCCTTGAACCTATAGTGAAACCATCCCTTTTTCACCAATTCCTCTCTCAACTTACTCGACACCTCGCCTAGGGCAAAACCCGCTCGATACCTATGTACGGGCCTAGGCTACTAAGCCTAGGCCCTTCCTTTCAACTTAGCCTATTACTTTGACACGTCGACGCTGATCATGTTGCTGATCGTGTCGATCGTCGCTCTCGCACCGGCTACATCTACCGTCTCGAGCCCGTCGGAACTATCTCTTGGCAATCAAGTAAGCAGGAACTCGTCGCACTATCATCTGCTGAAGCAGAGTATATTGCTCTCCGCACCGCTACCAAGGAAGGTCTGTACCTGCGCGAACTGCTGGAAGAAGCGAAAATTGCGAAAGTACCCAGCTTCTCGCTTTTCTGCGACAACCAGTCCGCGATACGGATCGCGAACAAGAATGGCTTTGCCAACAGAACCAAGCATATCGCACTGCGATACTTCTTCGTGAAAGACGAAATTGAGAAGGGAAAGCTCCAGCTGGACTACTGCCCGACCACCGAGATGGCAGCAGATTATCTCACCAAGAAGCTACCAAAGGAGAAATTCGAGTACTGCATGCTGCTCACCAGATTGGGCCACGTCACCGAAGCTAACCACGTCGACACTCCAGAAACGAAGGGGAGTGTTGGGAATATAAACGCATGACTTAGTGCGTTTCTGTAGTATCGAACCTCACCCGATACTGAAGCACAACAAAAGGGGTATGAAGTCTAAAAAGGCGCGTACCACATCAAACCGCAACTAGAGGTTGCGAGCTGTAACCACCTGGAGGTTACGTAACAGCAAGCGACGCTTCAGTGAACAGTAACCGCCTCGATAGTCGAAGCGTTACGCGTCTCGATAAACATAACCGCTTCCTGTAATCTATCTTTCCTATATATTCCTGTATGCTCTTTGCTTTAATCAATTACTTGTTCTCACATACCAGCACAAGTACATTCACTCAAAAGAATTCCGCTGTGCTACTCTAGCACCTACTAGCCTATTCTCTGCAAAGATCCTAAGGCTGAAATCCTCAGCCCAACACAATTCATATGACTGAAATGATGTGGTGGAGCCATTTTTCTTTCATTCCTTTTCATATGTTCGGGAATTGATCGTAATGGAAAAATGTTGTTGTGATTTATTCAATCAAATGTGTCCCAGGCTACGTCAATCCAGTGACATTTTAAGTTTTGCAGTGTGGATATGCAATAATGCATTTATGCATAGATTTGCTTAAATCTCCAAGGTGTTCCTAGTTTTAATAATTGATCTTTAGAATGTTATGAAAACCCTGCGCCTCGACTTTGCCGCCAACTCTCTTCAAAAGTTGTCAGAGGTGTCGTGTCTGACACCAGGTGTCCTTGAGCCAGCAATTTCTTTCACCTCCTCATCCGTCCGAACATCTCATTCCATCCCTCTCAACTCAGGCACCTCCCAAACCAACGCACTTCCCAAGCCAACGCACCTCTCCTCCTTTCGCTTTCGATTCTCTTGCAGCATCAATCACGGCATTTCTACTCACCAGAATTCAGCCGCACTGCTGCCACCACTTGAAGCAAGGGAGTCTCAAGGCATCTCCTCACCTCCGTTTTTCGCCTCCATGGCTTCACCAGCAGATCTTTCAGGCTTCGCTCTTAACTCCAGGTCCAGCTACGTGAGATGCTGGTCGCACTAGCCCTAACTTCACTTGCATACCTGCACTAACCTAACGATTTCGGTTTAGACGCGACTCGGTCTGCCAATCAATGAATCTATGTCTTTCTAAGCCGAATATGGTTAGGACGTTGTGAAGTAGCTAAGCTGATACCGAGTCAAGGCTAATACGACGCTAAGCTGCTAGTTCAGACGTTATTCAGCGTCGCTGCAGTTAATTAAAACGACGTGCCCGTTATATAGGTATCGAAATTTACCAGAAAAAAGGCGTCGTCACTGCTATAGCTATCGAAGTTTAGCTGCTGCTTCTGCCGACAAAGTGACGTCGCTGCTGTTGCTGCCGTCATAACAACTTCAACTACGGTTTCCGGCGTCCAAAGCGACGTTTAGGGCGTAGTTGTTTTGAAGCTGACGTTTTTAACATAGCTGACGTTTTAAACTAGCTGACGTTTCAAACATAGCTGACGTTTTAAACATAGCTGACGTTTAGAACATAGCTGACGTTTCAAGCATAGCTGACGCTCTAAACATAGCTGACGCTTTGAACATAGCTGACGTCTCATACATAGCTGTAGTTTTTTTCCGTCAAAGCGACGGTGCTGCTCTTTTCGTCGTCAAGCCAAAGTTGATGCCATTTCCGCGAACAAAGCGACGTACCTGCTGCTTTCGCTGTAAACACAATGGTACTGTCGTATGAGACCGGCGTTGCTCTGACCGCGACGAGACGAGAGCAACGACTGCTGCAGCAGCAGCATGAGCAGCGACGGATCAACCTGGAACACGGGAAGCAGCAGCATGCTGCTTGGAACACGTGGCGCAGCAGCAACCGAGCAAACTGGAGCAACGAGCGTCAGAGGCAACGACAGTGCTGGTCACGACGAGACGGGAGCAACGTCTTCAACAGCAGCAGGTGCAGCGATTAGTTGAACACGGGCAACTGGGCGACACGCAGAGCTGGTCACGACGAGACGGGAGCAACGACCGAGCAGCCAGGCGTGACGACTCATATGAAAGCGTGGCGCAGGAGCAAAAGAGCGGTTTATGGGAGCGACAGGCACATGGTACGTGCCAGGGAAGCTTGCTGGGGGGAAGTGTAGTGAGTCCTAGAGCGTCGCCGCGCAGAGGCAAGAGTCGTGTCTCGTGCCCTTGCCTCCACCACACGCCTCCTCTCCTGCTGACAATAACCCTTCCTTTTTGTGTGCGTGTTTTCTCTCCCCATGCCTTTGTGTGCCTCACGGCCTGCGGAATGGCACGGAGTGGACCCGGAATGGCGCGGAGTGGACGCGGAATGGCGCGGAGTGGACGCGAATGGCGCGGAGTGGACGCGGAATGGCGCGGAGTGGACGCGGAATGGCGCGGAGTGGACGCAGAGTGGCGCGGAGTGGACGCGGAATGGCGCGAAGTGGCGCGGAGTGGCGCGGAGTGGACGCGGAATGGCGCGGAGTGGACGCGGAATGGCGCGGAGTGGACGCGGAATGGCGCGGAATGGACGCGGAGTGGACGCGGAGTGGACGCGGAGTGGCGCGGAGTGGACGCGGAATGGCGCGGAGTGGACGCGGAATGGCGCGGAGTGGACGCGGAATGGCGCGGAGTGGACGCGGAATGGCGCGGAGTGGACGCGGAATGGCGCGGAGTGGACGCGGAATGGCGCGGAGTGGACGCGGAATGGCGCGGAGTGGACGCGGAATGGCGCGGAGTGGGCACGGAATGGACGGGAGTTGCTGGCTCGCCTGAAGTGAAGGCGGGGTACATGAGTGGGAGAGTGGTGGACGGAGCATGGTACGTGCCAGGGGGTGCTTGCGGGGGGCAGTGAAGTCTCATAGGGAGTCGCCGCGCAGAGGCAAGAGTCGTCCGTTTTCCTTGTCTTCACCATTCGTCTCCTTCCTCCTGCTTCTAACTCTCCCTTGTTGCGCCGTTCTGTGTGCGTGTCGCTCTTCCCCTGCGTGTGTGTACCTTACGGCCTGTGAGAGTGAGGTGAATGGCACGGAATGGACGCGGAATGGACGCGGAATGGACGCGGAATGGATCCGGAATTGCATGGAGTGGAGAGGACATTGGCACATCGAAGGCAGAGACGCGGCGGCGGCCGTGACGAACGGCGCCGAGCAACGACTGCAGTAGCAGTAGCAGCAACCGAGCAACCTGGAGCAGCACAGCTCAAGTGAATTGAGGGCGTGGCGCAGGAGCAGCAGAGTGGCGGGCGGAGCGTGGTAGGTGCCAGGGGGTGCTTGCAGGGGGGCATCAAAGAGAGTCGTAGGGTGTCGCCGCGCAGAGGCAAGAGTCGTGTCTGTTGCCTTGCCTCCACCACTCTCCTGTTGCTGCTTCTAACCCTTTCTTTCTGCACCGTTTCTGTGTTTGTGTCTGTCTCTCTCCCATGCGTGTGTGTGCCTCACGGCCTGCGAGTCTAAGGCGAATGGACGGGCTTCCGTTGTGGCTCGCACGGGAGACGACCTGGACTGGAGCAGCACGTTTGTAGTGAAATTGTGGCGCAGTAATGGGAGAGCACTGGACGGATCATGGTACGTGCCAAGGGGTGCTTGCAGGGGGGCAGTATAGTGAGTCATAGAGCGTCGCCGCGCAGAGGCAAGAGTCGTGTCTGTTGCCCTTTCTTCCGCCACTCGCCTCCTGCTGCTACTGACCATCACTTGTTGCACCGCCTGTGTGTGTGTGTGCGTGTCCCTCTCCCCGTGCGTGCGTGTGTGTGCCTCATGGCCTGCAAGGCGGACGGGAGTGGCAGCAAGTGGACGGGGAATCGACACGGCTGCCGTTGCTGGCTTGCACGAGAGACCACTGTCCTGCGAGGAGGAAGGGGAGAAAGGGGAGCAACCTGGAGCAGCACGCCTCAAGTGAAGGCATGGTGCAGGCGTGGTACGTGCCAGGGGGTGCTTGCAGGGGGGCCGTGTATCGTAGAGCGTCGCCGCGCAGAGGCAAGAGTCGTGTCTCTTGTTCTTGTTTCTGTCACTCGCCTCCTCTCCTGCTGCTCCTAATCCTCCCTTGTTGTGCCGCTTCTGTGTGTGTCTCTCTGTCCATGTGTGTGTGTGCCTCATGTCCTGCGAGGCGGAGGGGGGTGTCAGCGAGTGGCAGCGGGGATCACCAGTGGCTGCAGCGACTGCAGGATGATGGCACAGAAAGGGGGGAGGGAGGATCAGGGCACACAAGAGGTTGTGGGTGGATCAGGTCAAGCACTTCACCACTTCACTTTTCACCATCTTCCTGCTTTCCATGTTCCGTTCTCTTCTGTCTACCATTTGTCCACGTGCAATGAGTCTGTCCAGCGCGGTGCCGTCAGATGTTCGTGCCACTCTCCTCACCTCCCTAACCCCTCTCCTGTCATCTCCTTCTCTCTGCAGCGACCGGTGGTTGCGACAGCAACGACTGCAGCAGTAGCAGCAGCGGCAACGGAGCAACCAGGAGCACGGGCAGTGGCAGGGCGCTGCTTGGAGCAAAGGCTTGGCGCAGCAGCAAGAGAGCAGCCTGGAGTAGCACGCTAGCAGAGAAGGCGTGCTGCAGGCAGAGCGGCAGGGTGGCACACGGAGCATGGTATGTGCCAGGGGGTGCTTGGTGGGGGGGCGTGAAGTGAGTTGTAGGGCGTCGCCGCGCAGAGGCAAGAGTCGTGTCTCTTGCTTTTGAATCCGCCACTCGCCTCCTCTCCTGCTGCTTCTAACCCTCCCGTGTTGCATCGCTTCTGTGCGGCTGTCTCTTTCCTCGTGCGTGTGTGTTCCTCACGGCCTGCGAGACAGAGGGGGAGGGAGCGGACGGGGAATGGAAGAGAGGCAACCATCCAGCAAGGAGAAACGGCGCCTTGATTCTCCATCTAAGTTTCTTCCAGTCAAGAGGTAACCGGGAGTTCAGATGCACCATGCATGGCATTCTTTCTCAGTCCCTTCTCCAGCCTTCGTCTGCCATCTCATCCACTCGCTTGTCTCTTCTTGCTCAGGCCTCGCTTCCTCTTCCTTGCCTTCCTTCCTCTCCTCACCTCCAGCACTCAAGGGGCAGTGATCACCAGTGGCTGCAGCAACGCAGGGATCACCAGTGGCTGCAACAGCTGAGGGATGATAGCGAGCACACAAGGAGTTGTGAGTCCATCAGACCAACCAGTACACCGCTTCTCCATTCGCAGTCTTCTTGCGTTCTCGTGTTTAGTTCGGTCATGTCTACCATGTTTCGACACTGCCCACATATCTTTGCTGGTGTGCTGCCAATTTTTCGTGGCACTCTTCTCAGCTCCAAAAGCTCTCCACTCCTCTCGTCTGCTTTTCTCAACTCTCCGCCCATTCATCAGCAGATTTTATCCAGAGCGCGCGCTGTTGGCAGCAGCAGCAGTGGAGTGAGACATAGCCAAGTGCCGCACCTTTTGTCCAGAACCAGCCGCATGGGCAGCGGTGGCAGTGGTGCCAGTGGTGCTTGCATCAGTTGCAACGTCAATGGCAGCTGCAGTGGCGGCTGCAGCAGAAAAGGAGGGGTGAGTGCAGCTTATCCTGTCGCAACTAAGTTCCTTCTATTTGTTGGTTGTTCAATGCCGCCCGGGCTATTGTCAGGTGCCTCAAATCTTACCCGTCTCCCTTTACACTTGTCTATGTGGCTTGGCTCGTTCTCTTGTCTTACTGTATGCAGTTATCATGATCCCCTCGCCTCGCTCTCCCCCCTTCATGGCCAGGGTGATGGGCAGGCCAGCACACCAGGACTTGTGAGTCCATCAGACCAACCAGCTGACCTGGAGCACCACGCCTGGAGCACCATGCCTGGAGCACCACACCTGGAGCAGCACGCAAGGAGCACCACGCCTGGAGCACCACGCCTGGAGCACCATGCCTGGAGCACCACACCTGGAGCAGCACGCAAGGAGCACCACGCCTGGAGCACCACGCCGAGCACCACACCTGGAGCAGCACGCGTGAAGTGAAGGTGTGGCGAAGGAGTGGGAGAGCAACTAAATGAGCATGGTACGTGCCAGGGGGTGCTTGCAGGGGGGGCGTGAACTGTCATAGGGTGTCGCCGCGCAGAGGCAAGAGTCGTGTCTGTTGCTTGCGGGTCCACCACTCGCCACCTGCTGCTTCTAACCTTCTTCTATGTGTGTGTGTCTCTCTCCCCCCATATGTGTGTCTCTCTCCCCCCGTGTGTGTGTCTCTCTCTCTTCTCGTGTGTGTGTGTGTGTGTGTGTGTGTGTGTGTGTGTGTGTGTGTGTGTGTGTGTGTGTGTGTGCATTGTGGCCTGTGAGACGGAGAGCAATGGCAGCACAGGGACGCCTCAAGTGAAGGCGTGGCGCAAAACTGGGAGAGCAGCGGAAGGAACGTGGTACGTGCCAGGGGGTGCTTGCAGGGGGGCCATGAAGCGCTGCGCAGAGGCAAGAGTCGTGTCTCTGTTCTTGTTTCTGCCACTCGCCTCCTCTCCTGTTGCTCCTAACCCTCCCTTGCCGCTTCTGTGTGTGCGATTTCTCTCCCCATGATCGTGAGGAGGTGGGGGGAGGGGTGGAAAGGGGGGGTTGGGAGGGGGAGAGTAGGGGTGGGTTGGGGGGGCGGTGCCTGTCCTTGTGTGCGTGTGCATGCCTGTGAGTGCGTCTCTCAGGCTCCGAGCCGTGGAGTGCGTTGTGAACAACATCCATTGCTTGCTTCTCCAAGACAAGAGGTAACCAAGAGTGAGGATGCAGCAGCAGGGCGAATGCATTCTCCGTTGCGTCTTGTCTCAGCCCCGTCTATTGCTGCCATTTACCATTTTTTCTGGCATGTCAATGCTCTTTCCAGCTGGCATGTCAACACTCTTTCACATCCTCAACCTCTCATCCACTCGCTTCTCCTCTCCTTGCTCACGCCTCTCTTCAAGTTCCTCTCGTCTCTTTCTCTCTCCATCCTTCCTCCCTCTCTCCAGCACTCAAAGGGGGGGTGGATGCAGAACGCAGGGATCACGAGTGAATGCAGCAAGTGCGGGATGAGTTGTCCACTCACAACTGCACACAAGTACTTGTGAGTGGACCAGATCAACTGGCATGCCACTTCGCCATTCTCCTTCCCTCTTGTGCCCTTCTTTGCTGCTTCTGTGTGTATCTCTCCCCCCATGTGTGTGTGTATCTCTCCCCCCATGAGTGTGTGTGTCTCTCTCCCCATGTGTGTGTGTATCTCTCTCCCCATGCGTGTGTGTGTCTCTCTCCCCATGTGTGTGTGCCTGGTGGCCTGTGACACGGAGAGCAATGGCAGCACGGGGACGCCTCAAGTGAAGGCATGGCGCAGGCGTGGGCGAGTGGCAGACGGAGCGTGGTACGTGCCAGGGGGTGCTTGCAGGGGGGCCGTGAAGTGAGTCGTAGGGTGTCGCCGCGCAGAGGCAAGAGTCGTGTCTGTTGCCCTTGCTTCCGCCACTCCCCTCCCCGCTGCTTCTAACCCTCCCTTGTTGTGCCTCGTATGTGTGCCTGTCTCTCTCTCTCCCCATGCGTGTGTGTCCTTCACGTCCTGCGAGACGGACGGGAATGGCAGCGAGTGGACGGGTACTGTTCATGTGCGTGTGGGGAGAAGGGGGGATGGGGGGAAGGGGGGTGGGGGCGTGCATGTGTGCGTGTGCGTGTGTGCATGGCTAGGAGTGTTCCTCTCAGCCTTCAAGCTCTGGAGTGTGGCGGATTGCTCCAGCCTAGCAGCCTAACAGCCTAGCAGCCTAACAGCCTAGCAGCCTAACAGCCTAGCAGCCTAACAGCCTAGCAGCCTAACAGCCTAGCAGCCTAACAGCCTAGCAGCCTAACAAGCCTAGCAGCCTAACAGCCTAGCAGCCTAACAAGCCTAGCAGCCTAACAACCTAGCAGCCTAACAAGCCTAGCAGCCTAACAGCCTAGCAGCCTAACAGCCTAGCAGCCTAACAAGCCTAGCAGCCTAACAGCCTAGCAGCCTAACAAGCCTAGCAGCCTAACAGCCTAGCAGCCTAACAGTTTAGCAGCCTAGCAGCCTGGTGGGCTGCCACTTAGCACAGATGAGCAAAGCAAAGCACAGCCTAAAGCCTAAGCCAAAACCTAAGCCTAAGCCTAAGCCTAAGAGCCTAAGCCTAAGAGCCTAAGCCTAAGCCTAAGCCTAAGCCTAAGCCTAAGAGCCTAAGCCTAAGAGCCTAAGCCTAAGCTTAAGCCTAAGCCTCAGCCTAAAAGCCTAAGCCTAAGCCTAAACCTAAGCCTAAGCCTAAACCTAAGCCTAAGCCTAAGCCTAAAGCCTAAGCCTAAGCCTAAAGCTTAAGCCTAAGCCTAAGCCTAAGTGCCTAAGCCTAAGCCTAAGCCTAAGCCTAAGAGCCTAACCTAAGCCTAAGCCTAAGCCCAAGCCTAAGCCTAAGCCTAAAAGCCTAAGTCTAAGCCTAAGCCAAAGCCTAAAGCCTAAGCCTAAGCCTAAGCCTCAGCCTAAAAGCCTAAGCTTAAGCCTAAGCCTAAAAGCCTAAGCCTAAGCCTAAGAGCCTAAGCCTAAGCCTAAGTCAAGCCTAAGCCTAAACCTAAGCCTAAGCCTAAAAGCCTAAGCCAAAGCCTAAGCCTCAGCCTAAAAGCCTAAGACTAAGCCTAAGCCTAAGAGCCTAAGCCTAAGCCTAAGCCTAAGTCAAGCCTAAGCCTAAGCCTAAGCCTAAAAGCCTAAGCCTAAGCCTCAGCCTAAAAGCCTAAGACTAAGCCTAAACCTGAGACTAAAAGCCTAAGAGCTCAAATTCGACCACTGCTGTGCTTGTCTTTGCTCATCTGTGCTTAGCTGTTAGGCCATCAGCATGTGGGCTGCCACTTGCTGGTGCATGCACCACCAAGAGCTCAAATTCGACCACTGCTGTGCTTTGCTTTGCTCATCTGTGCTTAGCTGTGGTAGGTTTGTTTAGGTGTGTTGCGCTGTGCTGTGCTGGGATGGGATGGGCCTGCCTGTTGTGGAATAGGTGGGTGGGGTGGGCAGCCTGGAAGGTGCCTGCCTGGGCACAAACACCCAAGCAGGACGGAGTATCCTTCAGGTGTTGTGCCATGCCAGGCACCCCGTGCAGGGATGAGAGCATGGAAATGCAGGGCACTGAACATGCGGTGCATGCAGCATGCATGCACATACAGAAAAAAACCACCACCAAGAACCCATGAGACAGGCAAACCCTTCTCGTGCAAAAGAGTGGATGGCAGGGACTGGCAGGAAGGAGAGTTAGATTGTGCAGATTGCGCGGATTGGCAGGCACAGATTGCGCAGGATTTGCAGTGCAGAAATGGCCTGATGCAGCAGCCACCAGCCAATAAGCGAATCAAACAAGCTGCCGAGTAGTAAAGCAGCAAAGCAGCCGACCAGTTAACCTGCTAACCAGCCTACCCATCCAGAAAACCAACACTCCAGTGTCATGAAACATATTGGTAATATGCAGCATATTTCGTTCAGAGCTATGGGGGGTGTAGGTGGTGTACAAGTTGTTATGCAGGGTATTGGAGTGGTAGTTGAGGACTTGGGGAATCACGCGAAGTTGGTGACTCAGAAGATTGCGAAGCGCATGTTGGGAGAATTTGAGGCCTAGGGAGACAGGAAATCGGCGAGGGCCAACCAGAGCCCAGGCGACTCCAGTGCAAGCCCAGCCCCTGAATAATTCGCGACAGGGAAAGCAAGTACTAGTAGTCTAGCCTAGCAGAGCCAGACTTGTTCTCTCGTTTGTCTACTTGTTACAGTGGATGCAAGTTACCGTTCTAAGCTACTGCTGCTAGGTGACAAGGCCACTCGGGGTAGCCATTGTGTGGGAGTCAGGACTTCTCACAAACGAGAGAAGGCGCCGGCGGCATGGATCGCCATGAGCTGCGCATGCAGCGAACGTATTCGCGGCGGGAACGTTCTCCGTCGCGGGGATGGTGCTCAAGGGAGTGAGGCAGGTCGCCGACGCGCTCGCCAAGGAGGGCGGCGTATCGCGCAGATCTGGTGACGCCAGTGGGCGTGCGCACTGGAGGACGCGGAGCGGATCTGCACGTCAGATCGGAGCCCGGGAGGCGGCCCGCGACCAGCGATCCGTGGGATCTGGCAGGATGCCGGCGCGGAATGGATGGAAGGCGTCGCGACAACGACGTGGAGATGGACTCGGCGAGCGATGACGATGGGGAGGAAGAAATTGAAGAAGCCCCAGTCGCGCGGGGCAGCAGTGATCGAGAAGAGACTGAAGGCGAAGGATCCCCCATTGCGCGGGGTGGTGGAAGGCGCGACGGAGACGAAGGCGAAGAATCCCCCACTGCGCGGGGAGGCGGAACGCGCGACGGTGACGAAGGCGAATCCCCTACTGCGCGGGGAGGCGGAACGCGTGACAGTGACGAAGGCGAATCCCCTACTGCGCGGGGAGGCGGAACGTGCGACGGTGACGAAGGCGAAGAATCCCCCACTGCGCTGGGAGGTGGAAGGCACGGCGGCGCCGAAGGCGAGGGACCCCCCACTGCGCGGGGAGGCGGAACGCGCGACGGCGCCAAAGGCGAGGGACCCCCCACTGCGCGGGGCAGTGGAAGGCGCAACGACGCCGAAGACGAAGTGTTCCCAATGATGCGGGGAGACGTAAGACGTGACGCCACCAAGGAAGGGCCTGGAGCTGTACGGGGTGATGGGTGGCACGGAGAGGAAAGGAACGATGGAGACAGGCGACGGCGTCGCGAAGAAACAGGTAACGAGAAAGGGGGAGGGAGGAAGGAAAAGCGCGTAACTGCAGGGCAGTATGAATATGAGTTGAAGCACGACAGGAGTGGGAGAGGTGAACGTCATACCAGGGAGCCTCTAGGAAGAGAGAGGAGTTGTCAGGCGCCCACTGGAGCATTCCGCTCGCCCGAGCCGAGGGAGAAGTATGAGCGCAGGCGGCGCGTGGCGAGGGGTGACTGGTGAGGTTTGGGGCTGCCGAGGGAGGGAGAGCGTAGCGATGGTGAAGAAGAGGGGTGGGACTCAATGCAAAAGGGAAGAGAGCACAAAGAGGGGTACCGCAGGGAGGACAGGCGAGGATCACTACATGCTTCGGGGGCAGAAGAGAGGAAGCGAGAAGACCAGCAGCGGCAGGACAGGGTAGAGCGAGATAGGCGAGGTCAGGAATACTCGCCTGAGAGGAAGGAAAGGAGAAGGGGGGAAGAAGGCAAGTGGAAGGAGGCGTGGGAAGGGGAGTAGAGAGGGAGTCCGAGTCCAAGGAGCTCAAGGAGGCCATGGCAGACAAGAGAGGGATCCAGCGGGGCTAGAGCCGCAAGGGAGGGAATAGAAAGGGTGTTGTACGGAGCTAGCGCAGGCAGCAGAGGAATGAGGGAGCGCAGAAGAGAAGGTAGCCATACGGAGCGTGGAGTGATAGGGACATGGGACACAGGGAGATGGGGCACGCAGGCGCCGCCTAGGGTGGAGGTGCCAGTGCGCTTCACGGGAAATGAAGGGACGGGCACTAACCTGAAGAATTATCTGATGCAGATTCGGAATGTCAAGTATCGGTGTGATCGTGGGGGGATGGACCCCATCGACTTCTTCCTTAGTCTGCCCATCACATTGGGAGGGGAAGCAGAGACTTTGTATCGCATGAAATGCAAGAGTGGCTGAGAAGGGCGGAGGAAGATGGAGATGACCCGACAGCATTGTTTCTAGCGCGGATACACAAGCAGTTTCCCGGGCATACAGCGGACCGGATCAGGGAGTTTCAAGACTTCAGACGCAAGAAGGACGAGTCATTGTTAACATACTATGGGCGACTCATGAACCTGGCCGAGGATGTGGTGTGCACGGACCAGTATGCTGATCAGCAAGTTCCTGGCGGGGCTGGATGATGGGTTAGCAGGAGGGCTGAGGATGAGGGTCTACGAGTAGGGGCGGAGGTAACGCTGGAACAAGTATTTGAGCTGGCAGACAAGGTGGAGCTGGCACAGAGGCGCTATGAGGCATACCTGCCCAAAGCAGCGGAGAAGAAACGACCCACCTGGGCAGCCGCGATGATACCAGGGGCAGGAAGCGGAGAGGAACAGCGGCAGGAGAGGAGGACAGATACTAGGACGTGCTACAGGTGTAGACAGCCAGGGCACGTGAAGATGAACTGCAAGAACTGTGACACATGTGGCAAACCAGGCCACCGCCGGCAGGAGTGCCCTGATGCGCCTATCTGTGAAGTGTGCGTAAAAAGGGGGCATCAGCAGAAAGACTGCTATCAGAAGACGGGTGGACCGAGAAGGTCACAAGAGGACATAGCAAACCAGATCGAGAAGCTGCAAGCGCGGTTGCAGGCGATGGGAGGCAAGAAGGAGAAGGAAGCGGGCTTGTATGCAAGAGAGGAGGAAGAGGAGGAAAGGGAGGAGGAAGAACGGTTGCCAGAACACACCTTTTTAGCAGTGCGCTGCCGAGAAGAGATGGGTCTGAGGAGCGGGGGCAAGGATGGGAGGAAGGAACACATAGTGAAGGAGAGAGGAAGACCGAAACAGAAAACGGAAGAAGAGAGTGAAGGGGATGAGGAGCCAGCCAGGCATCCCAAGGACCGACTAGCCAGCCAAGCAACGGTACTGGTGGCAGAAGCAGGGACAGTGACTGTGGGAGGGGAGATAGCAAAGACTGCGATCCTAGATACAGGGGCACAGAGCGTGATGCTGGGGAAACGGCTAGCACAGAAGCTGGGACTGGCCGGACAAGGGCAGCACATAAAGCGGGGGATGCTGGTTATGACTGCGGAGGGGGGCGAACCTAAGTGGTTGCCGTGCACAAAGACTCCAGTGGAGGTGGTGCTAATGCCGGGAAGGGACGAGCAAACCAGCATACGACTACAGTGTGGGATCTCTGACTCAGAAGACTTCGATGTACTGCTGGGGACGGACCTGATCTGGGGCGTGGGAATGACCATCTGCACATGGAAGGAAAAGGTGAAGTTTCGGAAGCAGTACAGGAAGCGGGGAAGCAGAACGGGAGAGCTGCCTGTACAATTCATCAGGCAGGAGCCAAGAAGGGCGTATACGGCTGAACAGGCGGGAAATAGAGACAGAGGGAAAGCGGGATTGGTGGGCAAGGCAGCAGAGACCAACGCGTGGCAGGAACCAATCAGACTGGAAGAACTGTTCGGGGGCATAGGAGCGGGATTGGCGGCGGTGCTCAGGGCAGGGATAGCCGTGAAGGAGTGGATCTACGTTGAGAAAAATGAGAAGGTAAGGAAGATGGCCGAGCACCATGCGAGGAAGCTGCAGAGAGAGTATCCTGAGCTGCTGGACGAAGAAGTGGTAATCAAGGCAATGCAGGGGACACTGACAGATGTGAAGAACATCACAAGGGAAGTGGTGAGGGGCTGGGGGCACGTGGACCTGCTGGTAGCAGGGTGGGAGTGCCAAGCAGTATCAAGAGCGGGGAAAGGAAGGGGATTAGGAGATCCAAGGGGAGCACTGCTGGTCAACTTGCTTTGCATCATCGACTGGGTCAAGGAAAGACAAGAGAAGCTGGTGTACCTGCTGGAGCATGTGGACCTGGAAGGGGACTGCAGAGAACCAGTGAGGAAAGTACGAGAGTTGGTAACAAGGAAGCTGGGGAAGGGAGTGAGGTGTGACGCAGCCAGGCTAGGGGCACGAGCTCACCGAGTCAGACGCTACTGGCAGAACGTCGTGACGGAAGAGCAATTGCAGCAGGAGCTGGACGGGATACGGAGGGATTGGAGCAGGACTGTGCAGGAGATCCTGGAGCCGGGCAGGACAGCGGCACCAGTCAGAAAGGGCAGACATGAGACGCAGTGCCCATGCAACAAAGTGGGGGCAGAGCGCTTGGCATTGCCGACATTAGTGGGATACAAAGGGGCAGCCGGTTTTAGGGAGGAGGATGGGCTGCCAGGAGAAGGCATGGTGTATAATCACAGGACGAAGAGATGGGAGGAACCTACCGCGCTGGAACGGGAACTAGCGATGGGGTATGGAGAAGGGATAACCGATGCAGCAGGGGTGACAGAACAGGAACGACGGAAAGCACTGGGGCAGGCCATGGACGGTCAGGTCATGGAGTGGCTTTTGCGTCGAATGTGGAGAGGGTTGGTCATGGGAGAAGAGCAGGAACGGGAGACTGAGGGAGGAGGGATGAAAAAGGTGGGGGCATGGGTGTGCACGGCAGCCAAGGAAGAGCCAGCATGGGTGGTGGGGAATGCCATGAGTGAGAAGGGAAAGGAGGCAATGCAGGAGGTGCTGGCCAGGTACAGGCATGCCTTCGCGTTCACCCTACAGGAGCTGGGTAAGTGTTCGGTGAAGGAGATGGAGCTGAAGCTGGTCACAGATGAGCCAGTATTTCAGAGGAAGCGCAGAATGACACCACCAGACGAGGACATTTGCAAGGAAAAATTTAAGGAGTTGTTAGAAGCGGGACTGATACAGCGATCGGAGTCCGAGTACGCAACACCAACAGTTGTAGCAGCACGGAAGGATCTGCTGGGGGAAGTGCTGAGCAGACGGATGTGTGGGGACTACCGAGCACTGAACAAGGTGACAGTGCCCGACAGGTACCCCATGCCAACGGCTGAAGATATTTTTGACCGACTGGGGGCAGGAGAGATTTTCAGCACGCTAGATTTAAGGCAGGGGTTCAACCAGATTCGGATCAGGAAGGAGGACGTGCGGAAGACGGCATTTCATGGGGCAGACGGGCTGTATGAATGGCTGTTCATGCCATTCGGGCTGCGGAACGCGTCAGCCATCTTTCAGAGAGTGATGGATAGCGTCTTGAGGGGACTAGACTGTGCGGCGTGTTACATAGACGACGTAGTAATCTTCAGCAAGAGCGAAGAAAAGCATGTGAGGGATGTGGAGCGGACACTGAAGGCGTTGGCGGATGCAGGGCTGACCTGCCACCCGAAGAAATGCAGATGGGGAGAGGCAACCGTACAGTACCTGGGGTACGAGGTCAGAGGAGGGCAGATAGGGATTCAGCAGGCAAAGATTGAGGTGCTGAACAGGCTGCAGCAGCCGAAGGACAGGAGCGGACTAAGGGCAGTGCTGGGATTTCTGAGTTACTACCGCAGGTTTGTCCCGAACTTCAGCAAGCGAGCGACAGCGCTGAACGGACTGCTGAAGGAGGACAGAAAGTGGGAGTGGGGGACAGACCACGTGGCAGCGTTAAAGGACTTGATGGAGGTGGTACAGACGGCGACAATACTGCAGCTGCCAAAGGCTGACAAGCCCTTCTGCCTCTATACCGACTGGAGCAGCCAGGGCATGGGCGCTATACTCTGCCAGAAAATAGATGGGGAGGAAAGGGTCGTGGCATATGCGAGCAGGAGCTGCAACCCCGCGGAAGCAAAGTACAGCTCATACCATGGAGAAGGGCTAGCAGTCGTGTGGGCAGTGAAACACTTCAGAGTATACTTGCAGGGGAGGGAGTTCACGCTCATAACAGACCACCAGCCGCTGCAGTGGTTGATGACCCACCAAGGCCTGACAGGGAGGAATGCGCGGTGGGCTGGGCAGTCACACTGCAGGAATATGATTTCAAGATACGGCACAGGCCGGGGAAGACACTGTAGCACGTTGACGGGCTCTCAAGGAACCCACCACCACCAGAGCCGGTACAGGTGTTGATGATGCTGGCTAGGCAAGGGGAGAAAGAGGCGGCAGGGAAGCAGCAGGGACCACGGGATATATGGGAAGACGCTGAGGTGCTGAGGTGGATTAAGGGAGAAACAGAGGGGGATGAGCAGGTGCCCGAACGTGCAAGGGCACGGGGAAACCACTATCGGTGGTACAAGGGGCAGCTGCAACTGCAATCAGAATACGGCTGGAAATTGGTGCTAGCACCTAGGGAGAGGGAGGGGGTAATTGAGGAGGTGCACAAAAAGTTAAGACACTTCGGTCACGAGCGAACGATGCAACTGCTGAAGACAGGATGGTGGTGGGATGGGATGCGAAAGCAGGTGAAGGAGTGAGTAAGCGGATGCGCGGGATGCCAGCGAAGCAAGGCGAGTCTAATGCAAGCAAAACAGGAGCTACAGTCGCTGCCGATTAGAGGGCTGGGGTTTAGGTGGTCGTTAGACCTGGCAGGAGAATTGCCGCTGAGCAGGGGAGGGCAACGGTACATCCTGCTCATGGTAGAGCACGCTAGCAAGTGGCTTGAGGTGTGGGCCATACCGAGCAAAGACTCCAGGCATGTGGCCAAGGCTTTTAAGGAGCAGGTGTTGTGCAGGTTTGGGGCGCCGGGAGAGGTGTTAACCGATCAGGGAACCGA